TCTCCAAAAAAATAAAAAAAGTTACAGAAAAAATAAAAAAAAAGGTTACAGTGAATTTGATTAAGTTGTATGAGTACAGTACTTTGATAGGATTCTAACTATGAATTTTTATGACTAATTTCACAAGTATTTTTTTCTTTTCTTTCTTGAGAGTCTCTCTTAGTCTCTTACAACCATAAAACAAAATTATTTTATTTCTCTTGTATTTGAAAGTCTTCTCTTACAACCTTAAAAAATAAATTTGTTACTAAACCCATAAACTCACTCTATAAATTACCTTTTTTTTCTTTTGGCATTTAGAGTCCTTACTCAAAAATATAAAAATAAAATTATTTCCCTAAACAATAAATTTGGTTAGATAGTGTCTATGAATTATATTTTCTAAATATTAAAGTATTTATGATTCAGATTTTCTGAATATTTCATATTTAATAATTGGTTGGGAGTAGATTGTGTTAATCTGAGCATATATACTTGGGAAATGCTAATTGACTAAATATTTAATACAATTAATGCGTAAATATTTAGTACAATTGGACCAATGGTTTTGTTTCGCTTAATTTAGTAGTATACATAGCTCATTCAAAATATTCTAAATCTTGCCTAGTTTTCTATCATCCAACCAAAGAAATAGAACTTTGAGGAACATAATAGATCAATATATTATGTGGAAATTGAATTTTGAGGAAGATTATAGATCAATACTATGTTAAACTAGTTGACTTAGGCCTATGGCCTCCAGGACCGAAAAAAAAAAAACCTTTGATAATCAAGCGTCTTTATTCCTATATATTTTATTTGGTGAATTTTTTTTTGATAATTTTATATTATGTGATTATTCATATTTCATATTGATATCCCATATTTTCATTTTGAATATCTACTCATGGATTTGGATAATTTCACTAAGAATATAATTTCACCAGATCATGATTGTATCAAAGAATTATATATACTATGGTCTATGGATGATTCATCTGCTCGATCTTCAGTATTTCAGAATGCTGTCCATATTTACCTTCTGTATCATGTTGCAACAGAATCTGAAACATTATGGTACACCAATTTTATTTTTTCTCCACAGATTTTTCCAGTTCTCATCAGAATTTTCAAGTTCGATTCTCGTTTATCAGTAGAAAATTACTGTAAAGAGGTTAGTTATCGAGCGCATTTTCAGAAATGGAGGGCGGTATCTTTAAACCCGATAAGACAGAGTTCACTGAATGCTGGCGCACGAGTTGGCAAACTCCGTACATTATGCGGCTTGCTTTATCGGCCGGCATTGGAGGGCTGTTGTTCGGTTACGACACAGGTAAACTATACAGAGAGAAAAAATAAACAATAAATAAAGATTCCTCAAAAAAGCAAAATATAAATCTTAGTCTAGCCTGTGTTTGGTAAACATATAATCTAGATTATAACTTATTTGATTAGCTTATAACCTTTCTGTATTCAAATAAGTCTGGTTTTGTAGGACGAGAATTTTTAAAAAACTCGAACTCATCTCATAAACTTCCTTGATTGAGTAGCTTTTCAAATAAGCGTATTGAAATTTTTATTTCAGTTAGCTTATCAGCTGATTTTACCAAACACTTTTATCATATAAACTAGTTTTTCAGCCATATGTCATAAGTTATCAGCTATAAGCTCGAAATTCACTTAAAAACTATAAGCTAGTTTATTATTTGGGTTTAATCATGATTTTGTTGTTTTCAGGTGTGATTTCCGGTGCCTTGCTTTACATCCGAGACGACTACAAATCGGTCGACAAGCAAACATGGTTGCAGGCAAGTAATCCTTAAACTTCAACTTTACTCAAATGCACAACACAATCNGAGACTAAAATAATAATAATCAAAAAACGAAAATTTAAAACTTTAAATCGTTTTCCAAAACGAGCAGGAAACAATCGTGAGCATGGCTGTAGCCGGAGCCATATTCGGAGCAGGCTTCGGCGGCTGGATAAACGACAAATACGGACGTAAAGTGTCCCTCCTTTTGGCCGACATTTTGTTTTTCCTAGGTTCGGTTGTCATGGCTGCAGCCGTGGGCCCGTGGATGATAATCCTTGGGCGCGTGCTGGTTGGGATTGGGGTTGGGATGGCTTCAATGACGGCCCCACTCTATATTTCCGAGTCTTCGCCTGCTAGAATTCGAGGCGCTTTGGTCAGCACTAACGGATTGCTAATCACGGGTGGACAGTTCATGGCCTATCTTATTAATCTGGCTTTTACTAAGGTTAGTTGTTCTTTTTTGTTTTTCCTTAAACATAGTTTTTTGCTTGATGTTTTAACAGTTTTGAAACAAAAATATAGATGATTGTGTGTTGAAGTGTTTTTTGTGTGAATATGGTTTTTAAGACGCCCGGAACATGGAGATGGATGCTCGGTGTAGCCGGAGTCCCAGCTCTCATCCAATTTTTCTTGATGCTATCGCTTCCTGAATCTCCGAGATGGCTATATGGAAAGGTAAAAAGTTAGCTTTTCGAACGAGCACGCGTGTAAGAATCCGAATAATTATAAAACAACCCCTGAAATCTCCTTAATTACAAAAACTAGGTTGTTTGGGTTGTTTTTCAAAATTACTTTGTTTCTTCATGTTCTACTTCTTGTTCCATTCCGTTCGATTAGTGACATGTGTACAAATATGACGTCATCGTTCAGAATTACTTTGTTTCTTCTTTATTGATAGAGCCATATGTTTGAGGTTTAGATTTCCTGTGCTTCACTTTCATGTTCCATATCGTGTTCCACTCTGTTGGATTAGTGACACGTGTACAAATATGACATCATAATTTACATGTGCCATTAATTCAATAGAATGAAATACAAAATGGAACATTGAAGTGGAGTAAAAAATTCCATTCCATATGATTAATGTACCATTTTAGACAATAACTAGTGCCTTTTTTGGCAATTAAGCTAAATTTAAGGGCTCCCCTGTATTGGATTCTGTTTTTTTGTATCCATTCAGGACAAGGTAAAAGAAGCCCGAGCAATCCTCGAGAAAATCTACCCGGCCCACGAGGTCGAGGATGAGATGCGGGCCCTACAGTCGTCAATCGAGGTCGACCGGGCAGCCGAGGGCCCGACAAGCGAAGGCCTAATCTCGAAGGCCAAACATATTTGGGCCAACGATGTTGTCCGCCGGGCCTTGTATGCGGGCGTGACTGTCCAGGTGGCCCAGCAATTTGTCGGCATAAACACCGTCATGTACTACAGCCCAACAATAGTCCAGCTGGCGGGCTTCGCCTCGAACAAGACAGCTTTGGCTCTATCCTTAATCACGTCCGGTCTGAATGCAGTAGGGTCGGTTGCCAGCATGGCGTTTGTGGATAGGTTCGGGAGAAGGCGGTTGATGATAGTGTCCATGTTCGGGATCATAGCTTGCCTCGTGGCCTTGTCGGTCGTGTTTTATGAGGCGGCGGATCACGCGCCACGTGTCGGCAGGGTCGAGTCGGCTAGGTTTAGGAGGAACTCGACGTGTTTGGAGTACGTGGGGTCGGGCGAGCCGCTGACGTGGAACTGCATGACTTGTCTCAGGGCGGCCTCGAATTGCGCGTTTTGCGCCAATGGAGATAGCAAGGTGAGGTTTTCTTGTCTGAGTTCTCTTGTTGGTATTCGACAAAAGCTTGTGTATCGTCTTTGACATTTAGACAAATCTTTTGTGTCGATAACCTCAAAGTCCAATCAATCGAATATTGATTAATCATAATCCACCGAACCTATTTGAAAACATCTCTTCTATTCAAAAGGAGTGTGTATTCATTGGGAATTTAAAAGTGATATTTTAAGACTTTTTAAAATCAGATTTTTTTTCTTCGACTTATTAAGATTACTTGATTTACTGGAATTCTTATAAATCTCATCCATGGAATTTAAAGTGACATTTTAAGATTTTTTAAATTTTTNNNNCTGACTTTTTAGATTATTTGATTTAACTGGAATTCTTATAAATCTCATGCCTAAAGATGGAATTTGGGGTAAGATCTCATTCAAGAAAGTCGTAAAAAGTCCAATTAAATCCAAGTACTAAATAAACTGAATACCCGATTTTGTTTATGGAGTCATCCATAATTATTCACAAATAGTGTATTGACACGTGTCCTGCAATAAATACATATTGGACATGTGTCAGTATATAAAGTTATGGATGGCTCCACAAATTTTTTGACTGAATATCTCAAAACTTCGTAATTTGGTAAGACTTTTTAAAATTTCAAACGAAGACACCAATATTATTAATTAAGATATAAAAATTATTTAAGAATCCAGAATGAATACGCCCCACTGCAAAATTTCGATATTTCCAAATAAATCTTCTCATCACGTTTTTTTTCCTTTTTTCGCACGCCATTAGTACCGTCCCGGAGCATGCTTTGCCGCAACCGACCACACGAAAGGCCTATGCAAAGCCGAGCACCGAACATGGTACACAAAGGGCTGCCCAACCCGTTTCGGAATTTTCGCGGTTTTGCTTCTCGGGATGTACATTGTGTCGTACTCTCCTGGAATGGGAACCGCGCCATGGATCGTGAACTCTGAGATCTACCCGTTGAGGTACCGAGGGATCGGTGGAGGGATTGCGGCCGTTGCCAACTGGATCTCGAATCTCATAGTGAGCGAGACGTTCTTGACGCTCACGGAGGCCGTGGGTTCTTCCGGAACTTTCCTATTGTTCGCCGGGTTCTCGGCTGGCGGGCTGCTCGGGATCTATTTCCTCGTGCCGGAGACGAAGGGTTTGCAGTTTGAGGAGGTGGAGAGGATGCTTGAGAAAGGGTTTAGGCCGGGGATTTGTGGTGGTGGGGATTCAAAGGAGGAGAAAGAATATTGTGGTGATTCTAATAAATGATGAGAATTTTGTTGAACTTTTTTGGTGGGGAAAAGAAAAGAAAAAAAAATACAATGGTTGTGATTTGGGATTTTAAAGATGTGGAAATAAATAATTGTGTTGTTATTATTATTATTATTATTATTATTATTATTATTATTATTATTATTATTATTATTATTATTATTATTATATTCATTTTGCTTTTGTGAATGCTAGACAGGAAACTTGCTGAGCCAGCTAGAGCAATAAAAAACTATATAAAGGCAAAAAACTCATGATAAGATTGCTTTACATGGTGAAAATTAGATACATAGTACTGGTCCAGCAAAGGTTTTTGTGGGGACTAATTAATTTTTTGGACTTTTTGAGCTGCAAAATCATTTAAGTTGAGAAAATATATTATCATTTTTTTTTTAAATAAAGAAAAAGGGTAAAATTTCTGGTTTGCCGTTGTTTAATGTTTAGGATAGTTCAAATGTCAAAGTTCAAAAACATTGTCATTCGGCATTTACATTAACCCTTGATTTTATATAATTTGAATCACATTACTCAATTAGTATGATCTTACATAAGTTCATATACAATTGCAATATTTTGTTCCATGCTTCATTTTGCCCTTACCAAGATCTTTATTTCTATTTTTAATTGCATTGTATGGTATTTTTTTCACACCATTTTTATATCTTTACATTAGAGAATGAAAATCTTTGTTAGTGCTTCAATTATGTGAGACACGGGTGCAATTATCCCTTTTCCACATTATTTTTTTTATTTATTCCAAAAAAAGAAAAAAAAATCCCCCGGCTCAAGATTATTTCAAATCACCCGTGCTTGTGTTTTTTATCATACTCCACGTGATGGTTAATTTATAATATGAACTTAATCCGAAGTTTCCTATGTTTTAGTTTGAAATAAAAAAATAAAAAATTGTGCAATCATTTGAATATGATACTGTTTATTTTTCTCATGTGATGCTTAAATAGCCCAATTTTTTTAACGTTGTGCTGGTTAATAAAAAAAGCAGCCCAGGTCAAAGTTACAAAAACTTTAAAGGTTGACCCGTTCAGGTGAAAGTCATTATTGTTGACGAATGCTTCGAGCTGGGCCACTTGCCAGCTCAGGAGCTTATAAAGTGGTCTGATAATTATTATAAATTAATTTGTAACTACCTTTAACATATTTTTATTCAAATAAATTCAATTTATTAAGAAGTTTTGTTTAATTCAACGGTTAATTTTATCCAAAAAAAATATTATATCAACTAGCTATCAAGAAATAATATCAACTAATTTATAGTTTATAGACAACTTTTAATCATCAATCAGCTAGATTTAAGTAAATGATCATCTGTTCAAAAACTTACTACTCCCTCCTATTCATAATAAGTGTCGTTTTGGGAAGTTACACACTATTAATGAAGATAGAGATTGATGTTTTAAAAAAAAAGATGAAGAGAATATGAAAAAACGTAGTGTATTTATTAACTAAATGAAGGTAATAATGGAAAAATATGTACAAAAGATCCAAAACGATATTTATTTTGGTTAACAGTTGATAAAGCCAAAATGACATTTAAAATGAATAGGAAGTAGTATTATTTATTAACATATTTATCAGCTACCAACTTGGTTTTGCCATCAATTATTAACCAAACCAAAAAATTATCAACTACAATTAATTAACTTATCAACTATAAATCATAATATCACCTAATTCCAAGTAAACCTACCTTATTTCTAGAAGTTAATAAATGAAAATTGTTCTTTGATCAAAATTTCAAATTCACACCCCAAGATATAGCTATTGATTAATAATTGCGATGTCTAAGTTTTAGCACAATGGATGCAGCATGTAAAATTATAAAATGAACTATAAAATTATTTTGATTTTTCAAAACTAGTGGTTCTCCAAGAAAAACCAAGATGATAACTACACAAGCAATTAGATTTGCCAACATAAAAAAAAAATAAAAAAAAAATAGTAAATGAATTAGGTCAACCAAAATCACACCATAAAAGTCACCTCCTTATTTTTCACTAACTTTAATAAATAAATAAAGAAACAAACATATATATATTTTGTCCACTTGTTCTTCAAGTAGAATTTTCAAAATTTATTCAACAACCTCTGTACAAGACCATTAAAAGCACACTTGCTATATACAGCCAAAAACCGCAGGCCATGACACAAGCAGAGGATAAAATCAACCACCTGAATTACCCAAAATACCCTTTCATGGACTTGTAGAAGATGAACAAGCTGATGAAGAAGTTTCCTGCCTTGCTTCCCTCAAATACCTTAGTAGGGTTTCAGCCTGCCAAAAGTGAACAAAATATTTAAATAAATACATCATTCATTTGAAAAGTACATGGCGTGAGGAATATTTCAACTATTTTTCTTATATATAATTGAATTATTTATATATAAACTACACAAAATAATTATTTAATAAATATTATATGATGGACAATGACACTTCACACTCGATGAGAGCAACACTGTGGAATTTTTAATTGTAAAAGTGACGCGATAACAAAATAAAAATACATATAAATTGACTTGATGAAAAGGATAGGGAAATTGTTTGAATTTTTAAACTAGAGATTATTGAGTTCACTTAACATACAAAGATGTATGAGTGGAATAATTGTTAAACATTTTAATCATACAAATTCTTGTGTGATGTACTATAGATGGGTCGAGCTCAATTAGTTAACAAAATGAGCCGATAAAACATGTTCGAGCTCTGCTCGTTTGAATCAAACTTATAAACGACTCATTTCGTTTAAACTGTTATATGCTGTAAAATATCATAATTTTACTTTTGTTGTTTTACAAGATATGCAATAACATGTATTTATTGAAATATAATGGCTTCGCCTAAGCATTATTTTTGCTTAAAGTAAATCAGTCCCACTATTTTACTAAAGGGAAAAATATTGAAAATCACAACTTAGTTATTGGATTTAATTAAAGGTATCCGAACTAATTGCGTACAAAGACACAGATTTAGGAGTGACACACAAATACAAATACTANTTTAAAAAAAAAAAAAAAACAAATTAAACTAATCCCGTAATTAATATTCAAATTACTGACCTTGTGCTTAGCCCTGGCCGTCCCGGTCAGCGACAACGCCACCAGCGGCGGAACGCCGCCTTCCGCCACCACCAATCCCCTGTTCAACACACTCTCACCGCACACCTGCAACAGGGTCGATACTGCGAATTCCTTCACCCTATCCTCGCCGTCCTCCAACGCCTCCACCAGGGCGGCGATCCCGTTCTCCCTCACCACCGCCTCCCGCCCCGCCTCAACCCCGGCCAGACTGCCCAGCACCACCGCCGCCTTCTCCGCCAGTCCTTCCTTCCTCCCGTCCGCCGCCACCAGCGCCACCAGCGGCCCCACGGCCCCGGCCGCCACCGCCCGCTCCTTGTTCGGCGCCGCCGTGCACAACTTGTACAGCGCGGCGAGCGCGTCTTTCTTCCCCCGGCTGGACCCGCCGGCAAGCAGTGCCACCAGCGGCGGAATCGCGCCGCACGCGCCAATCGAGAGCCTGGCCTCGTCCGTCGCGGCCAGACTGAGGAGGGCGCAGGCGGCGTTCTGCTTCGATGCTTCGGTGCCCGTCCGTAGGGCGTAGATTAGGGCTTTTGCGCCGCCGCCGGCGGCGATTAGGGTTTTGTTGCCGTCGTGGAGGGAGAGGTTGAGCAGGGCCGTGACGGCGTGCTCCTGGGTATCCGGGTCGGGGCATCGTAGTAGAGGAATCAAAGCGGGTATGGATCCGGATTCCCCAATTAGGACCCGATTGTCCGCCCGATTTTTCGCCAGGAGGCGCAATTTAGCCGCCGCCGATCTTTTCAGAGCGGTAGATGTTGACCGGAGGGCGTCGACGCAGAGTTTCACCGTCGGCTGGAGGTCCTCCGGAGAGATGCTCTCAATTATCTCCGTCGAAAACGTCTCCCTCTCTAAAAACCCGGAACACGGCTCCGGTTCGGTTTCCGATTCCGTCCCCAAGCTCCGCCGCTGGTTCGTGTCAGTGTCGGGTAGAGCAGCAAGATGCCGGAGCTCGCCGGAGATGTCGCTGGAGCACGCCGATAAATCGCTGAACGAGCGCGAGATATCCAAAATATCGCTGATGTCGGAGAGCGGCGAGTTTTTCGAACCTCCAGACGGTTTAACGGCGAGCTCGCCGAGCTCGAGGTCGATGACAGAGTCGGTGAGGTCTTCGGAGACGTTGGGGGAGCTCTCGGGGGCCGGGCCGGATCTGTACATGTTGGACCGTATTCTGCGCATGGAACGGCCGAAGGACCGGGTCGCCGCGGCGGAGGACGGCGGCGGGGTGTAGTAGTAGTACGGCCGCGTGAGGGGGCACCGGTGCGTGCCGCCGGAGCAGGATTTGGAATCCTCCAACGAGATCATGATGAGAAACTGACCGAATTTTTGAACGAAATTGGATAAAATCTCGAAATTTTGGTGAGATTTTGGCGATTTTATATGGAAGCTTTGTTTCAGGGGACGGCCATGGCTGACAATGGAGGTTATGTGGCTCAGTAGCTCAGTGGATATATATGATTTTCTGAATTAAAAGAAAATATAATTTTAATATTGTTTTTTAAAAAAGGAAACTGGTTATGGGTCAGTGTGTGGATTTGGACTGTTGGGAGTGGGCCCGTGGGCTTTTGGGGCCTTGCTCGAGAGGGGACAGCTGGATTGGGCCTGATTTCACACGGGGTCTCGAGTACCCATAAATCTGAGTTGATCGTGTGAAAAGTGTGTAGGGCCCACTACTAGACACGAGCCAGCAACCCAAAACGTGGCCGTGGGTCGCTGGACTTGGGTGACCCCAGTCCGTGGTGCAGGGTGAGGATTTTATTTTGCAAATATTAAATTGGAATTTTAAAGGTTGAGAAATTTCGGATGTACTTTGATTTTGGAAATTATTATATTGTCGGTTAGAGAATATTGATGAGAGAGTATATGAATAAAATTAGAAAATGTTATGATGTAAATATTTTTTTTTTTTTTACCAAAATCTGAAAATGAATGGGATATGGTACAAAGTTCTATTGCATATATATTGTTAATTTATATATAAAAAGCATATAAAGTTACATACACATTGAAAAAACTTTTTTTTTTTCTTAAGTTTTCCAACATAAAATCGATCATAAATCAATATATTTATCGTATCATTTTTTTTTTTTGTTCTCATAAATCAAACTGTTGATCAAATATACCCATTAGTTTAACATTGCTGCATAAGTTATCGAGTCATGATATACTATCGGAATGATTTACATATAGTTGCAAATATTTATTTTGGTAAGTCAATTTAAGTGTATTAAATATGGTTAATCAAACCAAACAGACCAAAAAAAATAAATAAATAAATAAAATGTTGGTTTGAACCCAAACTGAAACAAGATTTTAGTTCGTTTTGTTATTTTTATTTTTGTAATTTTTTTGTTCTTGGTTTGGATAAATGTGCTAGGTTAACCAAGTGAAAAAACGACATTATCCATAACTTTGCTAGAGGCCAAATAATATTCCTTATCTACATTAGATTCATTTTCAGTTATTTCTTTTTTCTTTTTTCTTTCTTCATTTTCTATGACTTTGCCAATCAATAACCAAATTGAACTTAAACAAACCAACCAAGAATTTTTGGTTTGAAACAGAACCAAACCACAAAATTTGGTTAAGTTTTGGCTTTTATTTTGGCCAACCCAAATTTTTGATTAATTTGATTCGATTTCAACCGATTCAACATTCAGTAACTCAATTGATAAACTCGTAAGTTATAATATGTACATTTTCTATCTGAATTTTTTTCACACATGAAACTATGTTCACTATGTTTTCNTCTTTTCTGCTAAGCTCATAATAGCTTCACCACTCACATTGTTTGGCCAACTAATGTTGTTGACATGACCTCATTAAATACCTCCACAAGCAAAAATATTCTCTAATCTCTATGTAGAAATCTATTCAAATAAAGATTACTAAATGTTTCCATTTTGTTTTACATTTATTTAAAGACCTAATCCAAGTGACTAAGGTCAAATTTTAGCTAAAACTGCTCACCTGACATAATTTACAATTGATGTATCTATCTATTATAAACAGTTCTTTACTGAATAAAAATGAGATTAGATTTAAAATATAACAATATATGGGATCACTATTATCTACTTGATATTATTTATACACCTAAACGTCACTAAGCCATATCCACACACCTTCATATAGTAGCCTCTGGCTAAAATTGAAAAGCCTCATAAGTTTCTGATTGATTAGTTTTATTTTGGATTTGAAATAATCAAACAAGTTTGGAATATATAAAATAACAAAATTGAAAAATAACAATCTTGTTAATATGAATATATTGTATTTTAAACAATATTTGACCGTATTAATTAGTGTATTTTTTATAATGTATCTTCTGAATTTTATTTGATGATAAATATATATAAATATATTAACAATTTTACTTTGCCTTAGCCCGTCTACTCTCCGCTTAGGCACCCTAGACGTTATACCTGATGCCTAACGAGCGCCATGTCGTTTTTAAAAATATTTTCTTTTAATTAATTGATAGAATAATTTTTTATTTTTATTTTTGCCAAATTTTATGATGGATCTAAGATCAAATTTTGAATGACCAATCATATAATATCCTTCTACAATTATTTTGTTTAAGATTCTAGCTTTCATAGCTCATTCCTAACCATTGAAACATACAAATTCGGCAGAGAAGAAGTTTAGGAAGAAAATTTTGCATCAAATTGTCCNGTCAAATCCAAAAAGTTACATTCAGTATAGAGTTCAATGAAACAATCAATATCACTTTGGATTTGAAGTTCATGTACAAAAAAAAAACGTTTGATCCAAAAAATTAATAAATAAATAAAATAATAATATTAAAAAATAACCAAAATAAAAATTAAAATAAACCCCTCAAAATCGCGATATTTATGTTTAAATCCACATTGGAGGAATATCGAAGCATTCTATATCCTGCTTTTATTCAATCAAATTCGCCTTAGCGCTAAACTCCTCAAACGAAGTCTACAAAAGATTAGGGAAGATTATTTTAAATTATACCCACGTTTGGTGCAATAAATTTAAATTGTGCATAAATTTTTTTATATAAATTTTGTTGTCACAATTGTGCAGAAAAAAAAATCTCGCAAGCATTTTAATATGATATAATTTGGATCAATAAAGGTGCATTGCACCAGTATAATATATTTGATTATTTATGAGCTTATTTATTGAATTCGACATCCGTTGAACTTTGCTACAATAGCTGCGAGAAACTCCATTAATTTAATATTTTAGAGAGGATATTGCTATTAATAAACGCTGCGAACGTAGGGTACCAGTACTTGAATATTATATTATAATCAGATTACGTAATGCCTATATATATAAATAAATTAACTTTTGAATGTACTTTCTATTGAGATGCTGAGCTGTTTCCTAATTAATATAATACATTTTTTTTTTTCAATGGCGGAGATATAAGGAAAAGATTTTGGTTGTTACCAAATCATAATTAGCATAGGTAACAGTGTCATTAAATAATCAAGAGAAGCCTAACGTACTTCAGCAGGCAATCACACGATAATGATTGACCACGCGTCGCAACGCGGCAAAATTATAATTTATATTTTCCTCAGCTAACCTCTACTAACTAATAGTAGAGGCAAGTAAGAGTCGATCCCACGAGGAATGTGAATCAAATCGTGAATTTTCTCGTATTAATTAAATTGTAAAAGCAATAAAAGAAGGGGGAATTTTTAACTTAATCACTAAGATCCTAAATAAGTAGATAATATCTAAAGAGAATTTTCTAGTTCACGGTTCCGTCTACACCCTCGACTGACTCGTATAATCAATTCTGGTATCAAATCTTGCTATCTTATGAAATTACTAGCCCTAGGCAACGACACGGTCTGTTACCCGAATTTTTCCTTATTTTTAATTTAACCGCGAGACGCTCTACGATTAAACCTGACTTCTTGTACAGTCCAGAAAAACGTTTTCAAGATTTAATACAATTAGCCGCTTTACGAATTAGAAAAATAGGCTAGACTAAGTAGTGAACTCAACCGCGTTCGTTCACTTAATTAGGCCGTGTTATCCCCGGTAGTTACCATCTTCCGGTTACCTCTTATGAATTAAACACAACAACAATTACGGATTGCAAGTCTAATTCAGATGTAGATATGAAAAGCCTAATCTAGGTGATCAATCTAGACAAGACTAACACATCATGGTGAATTATTCAAAATAACACAAGCAATTCCAAAAAGATAACTCAATAATCAACCAAGAAAATCAATCAAACATCATCAAGTCGTAGGGTTCGACTTCCCCGGAACTAGAAATAAAATCTAAGCTAACATAATAAATAAAAAGCAAAAGAGAAGAATAAAGTTATCCTTCTCGTGTGCGTTTGCGGTCTCCCTCTGCGATTGATCGGGTTCCCGTCTTTCTTCTCTGTCCGTGAATTTCCCTAGCTGCGTGACTTTTTTCTGGCGGCTCCTTCTCTGGCTGCGTGAATTCTCTCTTTGTTATGCGTGTGCTCCCGTAAAAATAAATTCCCTTGTGGCTGCCTCAATTGAAATAAGTCCCACGTGGGCCTGCGTGAGTATGTACTCGCTCAAAGTCTCATGGCTCTCTCAAAATAAGCTAGTGGGCCCAAGTTTATTAAATAAAATATTTGACCCATCTATTCCTTCAGCATCCATTACATTTGCTCTTGTAAGTCCCCTCAACTAAGTGACTTTTAATTTAATTATTTACCAATCGGGCCCAAGTTGGGCTGAAAATCTGGCTGCTATTGGTACCCCGCACTGGTCTATTCAATACTCGTTCGGTGCTACGCCGCCTATTAAAATACTCTAATATCCTGAAAATAAATCATAAATATATCATAACACTTAAATCCATCTAATAAATAAATAAGCCAAAAATTATATAAGTGCAATAAAACTAAGCATATAAAAATACACTAATAAAAATATGAAATACACACTTTTTTCGACTAATCAATGATAGTATTATAATTTATAAATAATATAATTTCTTTATATCTATATTGTCATAACTAGAATAATCTTATATACATGTACAATAATATTTCTATTATTCAAGTCCAGTCCAACCGAGTACGCTAACAAGAAACAATGAAATTCAATGGAAATATAATCAATGGAATCACTGCGCAGAAATTTTGAAATAATATTACTGTTATATATATTCCTTCCATTTAAATTTTTCTAAGAGTTCCAACAGAAATTTTAATGAATATATTTCGTCGGATTTCTATCATTTAGACGACAGTATCCAATAGTTGAAATGTGGCTTGAAAAAAAAAATTCCAATGAAAATTTTCTACAATAATTAACCCGTTGAAAAAATAGTTGTTCGAATAATCAATTCCCGACTAAAATTTCAAGAAACAAGTAATTCAAATAAAATATTTTAGTGTTGGTCATTATTGGAATATCCAATTTTCAATGAATGTTATACCATTGAAGTATCTATTGGAATTTTCATCGGAATATTTTATGGTTAAAATATGATAATTTTTTGTAAGGGTACTTCGTGTTCAAACTAGTGTTCGTTTAATGAAGGTGTTAATTTGGGTCATCTTGAGCTTGGCTCGTTCAAGCTAAAACCCAGTTCAACTCGTTTAACAAACTCAAAATCATGTACGAGTTGTTCGCGAAGTTGCTTGGCTCGACTTATTTAGTTGCTCGAGCTCTACTCATTAAAGTAGCGAGTGAATTGGACTCAAACTTTCACAAGTCAATATCTAGTTTTCTTCGCGAGTAGCTTGGTTCGAACAATAGCTCTAATAACAATTATTTGATTAAAACTACAAGCAATATATGGAAAAAATTTATTTTGACTTGCCCTACTATCTTTCATCCTAGTACGTAAAATTTGAATTTTGGTTTATGCTTTTAGATATTATGAAATCTATGTCTACCCTACAAATCATGGTACATAGTATGTGCACAATGTTACAGCTGTACCTTGGTGACAAACTCCAAAATTATAGCATGATAATATTATTGCTCCAATCTCTAGCTAATGTCAGGCTATCCTGTTTGTGTCAATAGATGGATGATAAACATTTCATTTTATTTAATTGGTTTGTTTTGCTTTCATAAGATTCTAACAGAATATAATGACCCATTTTAACAAATAGCAACCTCTAAAACTAGTGGCTAATTTAGGTGCATTTATGGACATTTATTTGGAGGCATAATATGCCTTCTCATAAAGGATAATTTGACTTGAAAAATTTTGAAAGAATATGTCTGATTGTGACAACCTGATTCACATAATAAGGTGGACCTGATTGGATGATAAAATTATGTAAATATAATAGGGTTATTGTAAGGTATCACTGTATCATAAGTTATTGTGTGAGGCCACCTAACTGTTAGGCGGGTTAACCTCACATCTATACTTATATAATAAGAATTAACATTTATCCAAAATAGTAGGTCAAATTATGGTCAATGTCGGATTTGCATTAAATATTTTCTAAAACCAGTAAGTTTTTGTCCTTTTCACACTTCTCATTTATTATGTCCCTTTCACACTTCTCATTAATTATGTCTTCTTCACACTTCTCATTAATTATGTCCTTTTCACACTTGTCATTAATTATGTCCTTTTCACACATCTAATTAATTCATTAATTACGACATAATTATCATAAATCATTCCATCTGAGCTTTTATCCTTAAAATGTATAGCGATCTGTTATGACCTTATCCCATTGATATTTCTATGAAGCGTCTTATCGCATTCTATTTTTTGGTAACCACTCTATATCAATAACCGGATATTTGGTTAATGATAGCACACGTCTTTATTTCAAGGAATGAATATTCTTTGACCATTAACTAATCTGAACTGATTGCCTTGACTTTTCAATTTTTAAAAACTCTTTTTTTAAATATTTCGGCTTAAGATTCGGATTTCATTATACAAGTCATCGGATTGTTTGAATGAAAATAAATAAAATGAACACCAAAAACAGGTAGCCTTATTCATATAACCAATCCTAAAATATTAGTTTGTTCACCAAAAAGAGACAAATCCTAGAAATCCTAAAATATTAGTTTGTTCACCAATCCTAAAATATTAGTTTGTTCACCAAAAATATTAGTTTGATTTTTAGGATTTGTCTCTTCTGAAAATATTAGTTTGTGATAATGAGGAGTTACCAAATAATCAAACTCATAATGTTGTGTACAAGAGGTTTTTAATAATATATGATTGTTACCGAACTTGTTATGATTCAACAATGTTCTTATGTATTTTAATGATTTCAATTTCGATCTTAATGCACGTGAGGTTATATTATTCTTTCAAATTTTACATTCCGTGCATCGCACGGGTTACGTACTAGTAATTTATGAAAAAAAATTCCTACTTATGCTATTAAATGTTATAATTTTTTATATTTTTATTTATGATGTTTTATAATGTATGATTTTTAATGAAAGTATGCATTTTTGTGAAAATAGTATGTTGGCTTAATATCTACAGTTTATATATATATATATATATATATATATATATATATATATATCCATTATTATATATAACTTACATATATTCATCAATTAATGCTACCAAATACATTAAATAACAGTTATGGAATACATTATATATACGACAAATATAGGTGCATTACCAATAAATAAATATACAACAAATCAACCAAATATTTTAAATATATATCAAGATTTAGGTATTTTACTTATTAAAAAAATACATAGGTTACCATAGCATCCCTTGTAAATATTATATGAGAATTACTTAATTGGGTGATTAAAATCATATGAGAAGTACTTAATTATGAGGAATCAATCTGTTAAACATACTTAAGGATGATACAATCATATTTTTTGATAAATATATATTCTTTTAAATTGAAATATCATCGTTTAAAAAATAATATAAACAAAATGTATTTTATTGAAAAAATAAATAACACAGACAGTCAGACACCACAGTTAGTCCACCTCATGTATTTTATTGACTGAAAAATACACTTAAAATGGGCCTACTTTTAGTTCTCCAGAAGTTATTCCAGTCCACTCTTTCAAACCATTTAGGCTACTCTAAATGGGCCGGAAAACGAATAGGGTTCAAATATTTTCTGGACCGTACAAAAGATCCCGCCTGCATACACTACTAGTAAAGCCCATACACAAAAAACAACAATTCAAAACATCACAAATAAAGCCTAAAGTTATCTTTTATTCTAGGATCTTATGTCCTAATAACACAAAAACCCAAATCTGAATTTTACATGCAATTTTAAGCCTTTGAAAAGTAGTGAAAAACAGATAGTTTGCTTTCATTTCATTTTAAGCCTTTTAAAGTAGTGAAAAAAAAAATACAAATAGTTTGCCTTCATTTCGGACATTGGAGAGCCTCGACGAATGCATCCTTCACGAGCGGATTTGAAGCCGCCACTCTACGGGACGTGATGTCGAAATCCTTACCCGAGCTTTTGTGAACAACCAAAATAATATTAATAATTCATTAAACAAATAAATATATATATCGTGATATAGGACATGCAAAACCCGAGTAAAATTCGGGATTTTTTTTATTATTATTACTACTTACGGATCAAATACAAGTCCTCCGGCTTCATGCACGATAACTACACCTGCAGCAACATCCCTGAATAGAAGAGAATGTCATTTAGTGAACATAGTGCAAATCAACTGAAAAACAAACTCCAAGGTTTAGTTAATTACAAACAAAATTCTCAAGTGTTTGACGAAGATTACATGGGGCGTATCCGTTCAGGATTTCTGAAGACTTTTTATAACTTTAGAAACTTGGTATGTTTAATTTAGATTTTTTAAGACTTTTAAGAGATTTTAAAAAGTCTTACAAAATTCCAATGTATTTAACTTATATGAGATTAGGATTTTTTCAAGATTTTTTAAGATTTGTTGGGATTTCAAAATGAAAAAAAAAACAATACGAAATTTCTCCAGACATAAAATTTCATAGTATTCCTCCTAAATCTAAAAATTCTTATTAAAAAGTTTCAAAATGTCACTCAAATCCCAAACGAACACACCACCTACGTATACAATCATTAATTAATCCCCTTTGACATTTGTGCTCATTTATCAAAGAAATCGAAACGAATATCAAAAGAGAATGTGTTTGTAATGCTGAAAAGGAAATGTATTCAACAAAAAAACAAAAAAAAAAAAATCTTACCAAGGGCCTCCAATTCCAGTTTCGTAAAACAGATCAATCCTTCCGCACGCAATCCCACAAAGATCTAAAGCACAAGAGCCAGCAATGCGAAGAGACCTCACCTGATGAATCGAGAACACAAATTCATGCTCTCATCTTTTCTTTTTTTACCGAACTTTTGTTAAAAATCATTTTAAGGCACCTCTAAAATCAAGAAGTTACCTTGAAGAGCATGCGGTTAATCCTATCAGTAGCATTATCCACTGTAAGCTTGTCACGGTCCGCGCCCACCTGTTATTATTTCAGGTAAATAAAAAATTAGGTTAGCTCTCTTCATAAGAGGTAAAAGAGGAATAGGAAAAGGAAATTTTCTGATTTTTATGGAATCAATCATGCTTGTATTGTCTCAAGTTCCAGAAGTTTCTCATGTCAAATAGTTGAATTGGATATCAAAATCGTCACCATTATTCAAAAATATTTAATCGAAAACGATAAACACATCGGTTATTACAAACAATAAGACATCTGTAGTATGAAACTCGCTGTGGTATTTTTTTTTAACTCGACTAAATCTCAAGCGTAATTGGGTAACTAGTGATTTTTATTATAACATCGTTTTGTAAGCAATATGTTAAAAAGCAGGGTACCTCTGCAGCAAGAAGACACTTCACAAGCTCGGTTTGGGAAGATGCTGCATATCACAAAATACATGAAAAACGAATCAAAACAAATCATATATGACACGGTATCTAAATATCTAAATGAAAACAAAAAAAAAAAGCAACCTACTTTTGATGGGTTTTCCGTTGAGAAAAGCTCCCTTTCCACGAATTGCAGTATAAAGCTACATATCAAAACCAAATGCTCATCATCTAATCGATGAATAAATTTTTTTCACCGAAAAGTTACAATAAAATAAACAAGGAAATCCACATGTTTAACACTTTTATCATAATCAAGAAGCAGCTTATCATTACTTGCTATGCTCATTACCAATAATCCTTTTTTTTTTTCCATTCNTGGATTGTAGACAACACCAACAATCGGGACTCGTTCGATCGTGAGCCCAATGGATACACATACAAAGGGATACCTGAAATCCCACAATTTATTTCGTAAAAAAAAAAAAAAATTAACCGCAAATAAGGATAATACAAAATTATACTTCTTCACAAGCATATAACATATACTAACCCATGAACGAAATTAGTCGTCCCATCGACAGGATCAACGATCCAAGTCGGATCATCGGTCAATTCAGTGGGCCCACAAGCAGCAGTGGTTTCTTCACCAATGAACTATATGCATTACGCATCATGATATCAATACTTATATGTAGGAATTAAACGGGAGGTAGATTTTGACTCGAAAAATCTTCACTCGACGTAGGATAACTGACCTTGTGGTCAGGGTACTGTTTTTTGAGAAAATCAAATATGAGTTCTTCACATTTTTTATCAGTCTCGGTCACCAAATCCACCTACACAACAAGTAAAGCAAAAAAGGATAACAAGAAAAGTGATTCTCAGCTTCCAAGGAGAATATATACAAATTTCTTAATTGATAAATAGCTTATTCTATTTTTTTTTTTTATTTTTTCAATTTGATTATGTTCAAGTGTGCAAGAAAAAACATAAACTTGGCCGACTCCAATTCATATGAACTCTATTCCAGATAAATGGGAAAACTTGTCCCTGCAGATAATGGAACACTTCACACAATATGCTGATTGCATATCAATATTCGGGGCGAAAAAAGACTATCACAGAAGACAAAAGATGCAAATTTAAACACAATTTATTTTCAATTTCCCACACAAAATTACATAAAATTAATATAAGCTAACATGTTACCAGGCCTTTGTGCTCCACCCTCTTTGTCTCGTGAAATCCAGAACGAATAATCTGCAAAACCCATTAAAAGAAAATAAAATAAAGGAAAATTAAAGCAAAACCCAGAAAATGCTACAAAGGATGAAAGCGGAAGGAAAAATAAATCTGAAGCTTAAGATCAAATGGTACCTGCCCAGCAGACTTGGCAGCTTCGACAGCCTTGGCCAAGAAATCCTCCAAGGAACCTGTAAAATCCAATATTTTAAAATCCAATCAACAATCACGCACAAATTGAATGCACGTAATTTGAAATGTGATTTTTTTTTTTTTTTGTTCTCTTGCCTTTTTCCACCATTTTTTTTCAGTGGGTGATGATCGGATTCAGAAAAGAAGAAGATGGCTGTGAATTAATTGCAGAGCGGAAGTTTACAGCACGCAAACACCTTGAGAATTGAAAATGAATAAAACTATAAAAAGGAGAAAATGTAGCACATTTGTTTATAGGAAAATATGTAGTGATGCACCAATAATTTATGAAATCAGATGTAATTTGTTGCATAATACTTTTTATTATACTTTTTTTTTGCCCTTATTTTAAAATATTAATTTTGTAGCGTTTATATATTTACGACTAGGAATATTTAGTGGTGTTCCATCGATTGGATATATATATTTTTTTAAACAAAAAAATCTTGTTCGTGAGATAAAAAATTGAAAAGGTGAAAAAAGATTATTTTTCAAAAGTGAGATTAAAAGTTAGACAATAAGTGAATATGAGATGGAATGTAATGATAAATGTTGATGGAATATAAAAATAATGATATATTAAATGATAAAATTGATATGTAAGTAGATGAATAGTGATTATTGGTGCTATTTTTTATTCTTTTATTGTCTTAATAAAATTTGCAAAGAAATGAATAGTATTTTGCTAAATATTTTTATTTTTTTTGAGATAAATATTAACTTAACAAAAAAAAAAAGTAATCCCATAACGATTTTTTTTTTCTTTTCTTTCCATTTAGCTGAGAAGACAATCAACTAGAACCTGAATAATGATTAATCTAAAAGCAACTACAAGAAACTGAGAAGACAATCTATTAGAATCTGATAATGATTTTGTTTTAGAAATTTAAAAGCAACTACAAGAAAAATCAAATTCAATTTTATTTCACTGAATCAAACTGAAAACATAAAAATTGATTAAATGTATAATATTCTAAATTTATCCATCGTTTGTAGGGCCAAATGAATTGAAAATATGGTTCATAGTGTTACTCACATCAATATTAGACTACTGTATTGTAATACCAACATTTGTAAAGCGTGCAATAAATATAGTATTTACCTATATAGTTGATATACCAAAACTACATAACATAAAATACTCAGTAGGGAAATAAAATTATTTCCATTTAAAAGAACTAAACGAAAAACGTGCCATCTTAGGTGCCCATCAGCATTTTCATTTTTCATGACAATAACATTTTTGTACAGATCATGGCATCATCCTCGAGAATATGCCAATAATATGCTCCTTCAAAATTCTCGAGAATATGCCTTTAAAATGCATCATTAACATATCTTGAAGAGAAAAGATAAAAAATTGAAAATTTACATTTGTTCTTACTTTTACAGAAATAAATCCAAATGCTCAAGAAAATCATCTACAAGAAAAAGAAGAAGGTGGCAGCAACTAGAAATTATTGTACAGCACTGTTATAAAAGAAGCTTACATAAATTTGGAACTCAATTTTTCAGGCCTCAAGCTCAGCAATTTCTTTGATGACTTGTGATTTATCTGTCTCGAACTGTTCATCCTCTGCAACCAAACCGAAACAAATACTTAGATGCGTGAGGCGTTGAAAATGAAAAAAAAAATCAAAAAAATCGAGGACTTGTATGCATGTATATAGGAATGTATGTGCATGTACATTTATGATATCGTTTACTACCTCTATCAGTCTTTAAATCAGCAAAGAGGCGAAGAAGTTTGCTTCTATTGGCTACAAGGATATTGATGACCTCTGGGGGTTTATTCTGATTGGCTGCAAATAACTGGAGAAAATTCGCGATTAGTTTGAAATCATGAGATGGGCACAACAAATTCATCAACTTTTTTTTTTTTTTTTTTTTTTNTTTTTTTTTTTTTTTTTTTTTTTTCACGAGATTTACATTTGGAACTAGAATTCAATCATTCGTTACCTTGAAAACGTGGAACGCTTCAACTTGAATGCTCTTGCTCGATTCCTGTCACAAAGCAAGATTCACAACACACACTTAATCGTGTCTTTACATTTGTCAAGTGACATTTCATTCACAGCAGAATCTGATAGATATCATTTTCATGTTAGTTAGCTACATTTTTCATTATTTCTTATCACGCTTCAGTTTATTTTCCAAAATTTCAGTGGTAATAGGTAGAAAGAGGTTGAAAATTAACAGCCAAAAGGAAATCATACTCTGAGAAGATTCATTAGGATCCTGAGGTTGTCCCTAGAGTTAACATATCGAGTCATCACAGCTGAATTTGAACGATCGAGCAAGATTTCACCCAACAGCTGAAACAAGTACATCATAGACGCAAGAAGAATGAACATGCGAAGGAACGAAAAATTAAGAATATAAGTTAATTGTCCCAACTCCCAAATTAAAAGAAACAAATGGAGTAAATAAGTGAGGCATTACCTTGACAGAATGCCTTCTAGTGATATAATTGTTTGATTCCAGCAGCTTTGAGTTATACTCTGCAAAGAACTATCGAGAGAAAACTATCCAGCATATTAGAGAAATGGGGCTTACCTAGGCATTCTAAAACAGCACGTGCTACTCGGCGCAAGATTAAATTATTAATGACAAAAACTGCTCCAGAGTAGAATCAAACATAATTTTAATCATAAGAAAGGGAGCTCTGCAAAGATTACCACTAAATATAATTTTCTAAATCCGCACTCTAATGTGACAATTTCTTGAACAGAATCAAATGTTATGAAGAGACACAGTCTGAGAGGAAAACACTGACCCAGTTGTAATTGTTAGAGAGAAAATCAGCAACAGTTGATTTGTGCCTAGTCAATAGTTCCTGCACCAAGATAAGCAAAATTAAATTACATCAGCATAGTCCAAGCCAGAATAGACACTATAATGCATCTTCAAAGAAAGGAAAAAAACCACAAAATAGTCATCTAACACGCATGGCTGCTTCTGTTAAGGCTTAAGCACTCAAGTATGTCATTATTTATAAATTTCCAATAAACAATTCCCTTGACATAGATTACCAAAATAAATTGAGAACATGTCTGAAGCATCACAATTAAAAGGTAAATTGTAACTCTTGGTCCTAAGTTTTGACATGTAAAAACCTTCCAGATAATAGTTACTGAAATAGACATAAATTAACAGGTAGTCCAAAAAGTTTGCAGACAGCAACCCAATATTACTAAGGACCCTTCCAAATCACCTGCGCGTATCATATATGGCAATAGAAGGATCAAATAATAGCTTTGAAAAGCAATAGAGCAGGTGGATAGTATTTTTCTCAATATGTGGAAATAAAAAACCTTAAAGGTAGCAGCAGCATCAGAAGAAATGTCAAAATATGGGAGCTGTATGTAGTCGAAAAATTTCTTCATATGCTCTGGCTGCAAAAGATACCTACAGAACAAAGCAGATTCTTAATTTAACATCCATACTAGAGTACACAATAAACTGATGAATACCTAATAAAAAGTATACAATAATAAAAATAACATAAAAACTGATAATTGACTGACCTTGCAACACTCTGATGGCGTATGCATTCTCTCAACATTGTACCATAATGTAATGCCAAATCAGTGTTCTCATAACTGGGGGNGAAAAAAAAAAAAAAAGGAACAAAGGAAAAGGTCAGAATATAGTCACATTATATTTTCTAGTTAAGGAAATGTCCAACCATCTCGTCAAAGTTTACTTGATATATTCAAGTGATAATCAAGCTGGGCACTTAAGAAGGGAGTGAGAATCTACTCTCAGTAATACACTCCTCTCCCAAAGTTTCACAAGCTAATTGACTTTCACGAAGAAATGATGGGTTTGTAAACTCTTTTTGTGTGAGCTATAACATTATTTGGCATGAAATTATTCCAAATACCAAAATCTCATCTCAGTGTCATATAGCTATCCAGATCAAGAAGTTCTCAACCCAAATAAAAAATTCAAAACAATCAAAAGTGCTATGCAAAATCTTTCACTGCAAACCTACCCTGCTACAAGAACATCCAGGAGGTCTAAATTCTTTACCAAGTAATCACAAGCAATCAGCCTGCATTGAACTTGTTGCCTCTGCAGATTCACTACAATCTGGGTAGAATTATTGCGGGCCTGAAAATGTTTAGATAAGTTACCTGTCGCATTTATCATTCGATCATCATGGCAAAGAACTAGCACACTAAAATCCAACACATTTCAGACCCCAGTAGAATAATTTAATTCCTAAAACTAAAAAGCAGACAGCAAAATCAGGCAGTGTTGGAATTCTCCACAAGTACCTCTAAGTTCAACTTGGGAAGACATACAATAAGCAAACGGAGGGTATCCTCCCTAAAAAACTCTTGTGTTAGCTGTGCACAAGCATTGGAAAGGGGTTCGGATTGACCGTCTCCATAAAGAATTTGTCTCAAATGTTGGATATGTTTGCCCAACTCCATCATCTACACACACACACAAGAGAAAGTAAAATAGCATAACTTAAGACTTAAGTGGTCGAAAATGGGGAGAACTAAATCGAAATCAGTACCCAACCTGCTTACAGATTACAATCAACCCAACAACAAGAGCAACAATAGAATATAAAGCAACAGGCAAGAACTCTAACTTACACCTTCAAAGCCCCAAATGGTAAACATAAACCTCAAATAAAAGGATTCAATTGAGCAAACAGAAGAATCAATTTTACTGCAAAAGTAACAGCCCTATCGATTTGAGATATAAAATCCATCATAATGTCATACAAACTAACGACAGATCCCCAAACACAATCTCCTCAAACAAAACAATACGCCATAAAAACACTGAAACGAAACACACCTTCTCGTCACGCTTGATCTCCTTGACGTCCGCGCCGCCGCGATCCACGAGGACGAGCAGATCGCGCGTCTGCCGCACCAAATCGACCGGGGTTTTGGGCTTGGACTTGAACAGTGACTTCATCTTGGTGCTATCACCACCGCCGCCGTGTTCCTCCCTCGGGGAGAGACTCCGGGTCACCGACTGCGATGGCGGGCCCGCTTCGCCGGTTGGCCGAGTCCGGATGATAAACAACCTCCAATTCTTTTATTTTTCTATTAATTTAATTTGCTTTTTCTACTCCCTTTCGACAATCGATCAGCGTCGAGGATTGATCAGTGTGCTCAGTTTCTAGGGTTTTGATCGCACTTGACCTTCAGCTGGCATTCTTAGTATTGTTCGCCGGAAAATTTGGGGTGGCGGAATTTGGAGCGGACATGGATCAGGTGAGAGTGAACAAAAGGCAGTGTGTGACTGTGTCGGTGCTTGTGTGGACAGTTGTGTGGACGTGGCTGATGTGGTTTCATTTTGGATTAATTTTTTTAATAATAACAATTATTAATTATAATAATAAATTAAAATAGATAAATTAGGACCAAAGTTTTTACAATATATTTATTATTTAAACCTTTTAATTAAATATATTTTTTTTGAAATTTGTGTTAGTTTATCGAGGTTAAATGTCAATTTTCTAATGCTTCTTGAATTTTGAATTGATTTTGGATCATTCGTAATTTATGTGTTAAATTCTTATATAGATTTAAATTTCTAAATAGATCACTAGCTTGTACTCGGTCCCGGTTGAAACGGGTCGGGTTTTCGCGTCAAGAACGTTCGTAAGCTCCAATAGCTCTTTTACCTTCTAACTTCTATGCCATGCATCCACAGCGTGAACTTGGCTATGCCCTGGAACTTTGGACCGTTGATGGGTTTGGGCTGGTTTGGGCTAAAGCAAAGCCCACCAACAACGAGAACAATACGAACACAATCGAATACAAATTTGTGGTAGATTTGTACGCCATTGTTTATTTGTTTATTTATTTATTTATTTATTTATTATGTTTTTTTGTTTTTTTCGAACAAATGTATGGATTGGGGCATGACTATTTATAATTGGTCTTTTGTTGCTTTGATTTTTCTACTTTCATTTTGTCCTATTGGAAAATGTACATTTAATGTGTGTGCCTTAACTGACAAATGAAATTTAACTCAATTTGTACTAATTAAACAAATTTGTGACACTCATGGAATTTAACTCACTTTGAAATCATATTGTCTACATTAGCTAGTACTGAGTTTGTATTGAGTTAAACAAATGTGTGCTGTTTAACTCAGTTCAGCATCTAATTCTATAAAGGAATCGAGAGAGGTGCCATCTTTAGGATCAATCGGACCTGGATCGACAATCAAATCTGCTTTGTATTGCTTTTCAATTCCGCTGCAATTATGCGCTAAGATCACGAGCTCGTACATTGCATCTGTCATGAAATTTAATGCAGGAGGGTATCCCTCATCGATTTGTTTTACTTGTGCGCTGAGGATACATTCAAACTTTAGCGACGTATTGACTTTCTTGTTTTGTTCGCTCACGGCAAAATTCGCAGCCCAAACCAAAAAATCATCATTATTTGGGCTTGAAATTGCGGTCCATACCCCAACTTCGGCCATGGACTGGAACGAGTTCAAGGCTAAGATGGCTAAAATAAAAGGAAGAACAAATTTAGGCAACATTTTTTTTTTTTTTCGTTTGATTTCGTATTGGGTTTTTGTCTTGTTTTATGTGACTTTGTTTGAATTGGCATTTATGGTATGTGGGATTTATAGTACATTATGTAGGTTTTTTCATGTGGTGAGTTTTTATTAGGATTCACATTTAATTATCGGTTAAACACTTTATGAGCGTACATATGTTACCATTTTCTTTATTAACTCTGCTTTATGATCACATTTATTTTCCTGCACTTTAAGCTAAAACACAATCCATTTGTATTGTTATCAGTACAAATTAACAAACACGCCAATTTTGTCAAATTTTCATGATTGTTTTCTAACGCTTGTGACTTCTCTAAATATTTGGTAATCACCGTAGGCAGTGGTTTAATTTCAAACCCGGTCCACACAGTGAGTTACCGTGTTAATTACAAAATCGAATAATTTATTTTACTAATCGCCCTTCGTCCTTCGCCCTTCGTCCTTCCATATTTCCATATCATAAGTGGTAGGCTCGTATGCTTTGGCGTGAGCTTATTTGACATAAATTTGAGCTTTGTACAAATGTACATGTTTGATTTTAACTATTAGACTTCGGAATTATCATAAACTATTTTAATTTTTCTTTTTCTTAAGCTATCATATACTACTCTTACATTTTATTATTTAAATTATATATTAAATATCATGAATTAGTATTCTTTTTCATTCTAATTAACTTTTTTATTTGTAATATCAAAATAATTATATTTTAAATATTTTTTATTTGACATCTTGCATATATTAAATAAAAAATAATTTCATCAATATTTATAAACAAAACTATGTTTATTACCAAATCAATTTAAAAAAATATCAAATAATAATATAAATTATTTTATAAAAATAACATTAATCTAATTCATCAATACACTAGAAAATAATCAATTTAATTTTCTTATTTCCATCGATTTTGGATAAAATACGAAAAATTCTAAATTATTATAGTATATTTAAAATACTTACAAAAATTAGTAAAAGAGAGGCACAGACTCTATAAATAGAAAATATAATCACAAATATATCTGTTCAAAACGGGTTGACCGACCGAGTTGAAAACTACCGTGTTTGGATACAAATATATTCACTCAAAATGAGTTTATTTAGTTAATCATGATTAATTTTTAAAAATATTAGTATATTTAGTTAGTGGAATTTTGAGTTTATATTAGACTAACATTTAAAATAAAATAATTAAAGTTGATTTGATATAATAGTATGGGAGAGGTGATGTGAAGTGATGATTAGTTAGAATTATAAGAGTGAATCAATAGTGAATTAAAATTGATATGATGTAGTAGAATGATTGATTGGTAATACTTAATTACTAGTACTATATATGTGTACTACACGAGTACTTGTTAAGATTTTTTATTAAAAAAATAAATAATAATAACAACAAAAATTATTTTTGTTTTTAAATACATTTTTGAAAAAAATATTATTATTTATATTTAAAATGACACTGTCACTTACACGACTTACCATCTTATATTATATTTTTTAATTTATGAGATAACTACTTGTAGTGAAGTTAGTTTAGATAACTTTATTTTTTTTGAATTAATATTAATAGGAAATTTAAATTATGAAGATAAATAAATTATTTATTTATTTTATATGTATAATATAGATGACAAATCGAAACTCATCAATACATGATTATTTTCGTGTAATATATATAAATTTGTTAATAAATAAAAATATTATTAACTTCTAAATATATTTATAATTTAAGTTAGTAAATTTATTATAATTTTAAATGAAATATGAGAAAAAAAAGTTTTGGAAAAAAATTGTACCTTATAAACCACATTATATTAAACCATAATTAACACTATTAAAAAGGACCATAAATATCCAGTATATTTATGGATATTACAAGTCTAGTTACTTTTAGATTGAAAATAAATTAACATTCATTCAAGTCAAACAACAAAGCATAAAAATTTTCTATATAGGATTTTGAGCGTACGAGTCTGCCACTTAGACTTAGCACATTCGGAAATAATATATAAGTTCTATTGATAATATTGAAAATAGTGAAATAGAGTTAAAATTGAGTTAAATTTTAAACATTATTTAATTGAGTATAAATTAAGATAATTGATAAACACACACCCTTGAGTATTCTAGTTTCACTATGTCCGGAGAATTAATAGATGTAATTATTAATCAGGTTGCACAATGGAGACGATTGAATGAGCAGTGATTTTTGTCAAAGTTCATCTGATTGAAGAAACATATTATAGAAACATAAATTCTTCAGTTAGAGCATCCACAATGTTTTGGGTCTCTTTTTGTATATGTGACATATAATTGGACTTGGGTCTTAAATAACATGAACAAACTCAAGTAAAAAAATTCAAAAACTTTGCAATGCAAAAATAAAAATACTAGGTCTACCATACATGCCAACCAATAAAATGCTCTAATATGTTTTATTCATTAAAAGAAAAATTAAATTAAAAACAAATGATGAGTGTTTGGGTTTGTACTTGGGTCCAAAATAGACCTAAGTGTGGACTTGGTCTCTTTTTTTCATTGCCACATAAGCTAGACCATGTCCACTTTTAATTGCATTGGGAAATATTTTTTTATAAACTAAGTCTATTTCCCATGTGGCATGTAATTTTTTGTTAAGAGACCCAAAACATTGTGGGTGCTCTTAGTAAGTCCAACAGTTAGGTCGGTCTACGTGTCATAGCATTGGACAAATAAATTATATTTACACTATTAAAGGTTATACTTTCATATATATTAGTAATTAAAGCATGATTTTTTAATGAAAAAGTATGCATATATTTAAAAAAAATGTTGGCCTAATGTTAGGCCTCATCCTCATCATTTGAAAATTTATACAATCAAAATAGTTACATTTTATTTCAAGTATTCTTTTCCTTAAACTAGCCATTAATTTTTCATTTCTTTAAACGAGTAGAGCAGAAACACATCCGCCTCTAACGATTTGGATAGTACTTCTTGTCGTTAGCCGAGATCACGAGCTAGTATCGAATAATCGACACGTACTCAGATTTCCCATCATCGATCTCTCGGTATTGTCCTCTGACAATCGAGAAGAACTTTCGCAAGATTCACCACCTCGAAATCACCCAAGTTTATCGGTGTCCATTCGTCAGGTTTGGCAAGGGAATTTAGCGAGCTTAGGAACACGAAAATGACGAAAAATACGAATTTTGGCGCGACTACCCGACGTACCTGGATGTGCTAAGGGGTCGCGCGATCAGCCGACGCCACACTTAGGGGTGTAACAACTAGGTGGGCTGTAGTCCAGGGTCGGTTTATTTTTACCTTTTCTTGGCATATACTTAAGAAAAAAAATATTTAAATTTATTTTAGCATTATTTTATAACATATATTAGCCTAATTTAAAAATATATGCTTTTTTCTTTTTGTAATGATTAAACTTTTCCTATAAACTACTAATGTATACAAATTCTTAGGTGATGCGGCCTAATCATTAGATGGGTGGACCTTCTGTTAACAAAAATGTATACTTATAATATCAAATGTCAGTACTTTGTCATACTTCTGTTTATTTGTGACCGCGCGTCGCAACACGGTCAAAATATAATATTTAATTTTCCTTAACCGACTTCTACCAACTAGTAGTAGTAGTGAGCAAGGGTCAAACCTACAGGGAGTGTGGAATTTAATTGTAATTGTTTTCTTTAATTGAAATCATGAAAATACTAATAAAAGGGGGGTTTTGGTGGAAATTAATTAACTAATAGAAATATGAATGACGGAATGAACTCAAATGCAACAAATAAAGATGATAATCAAATAAATGGGGAAGCTTCTAGACCACGGTTCCGTCTACACTCTCGACTGACTCGTCTAATTAATTTTAGTATCAGATTTCGCTATCTCTTGAAATTACTAGCCCTAGGTAACGACACGGTCTGTTACCCGAATTTTTCCTTATTTTTAATTTAACCGCGAGACGCTCGACGATTAAACCTGACTTCTTGTACAGTCCGAAAAAACGTTTTCAAGATTTAATACAATTAGCCGCTTTACAATTTAGAAAAATAGTCTAGACTAATTAGTGAACTCAACCACGTTCGTTCACTTAATTAGGCCGTGTTATCCCCGGTAGTTACCATCTTCCGGTTACCTCTTATGAATTAAACACAACAACAATTACGGATTGCAGGCCTAATTCAGATGTAGATATGACAAGCCTAATCTAGGTGATCAATCTAAACAAGACTAACACATCATGGTGAATTATTCAAAATAACACAAGTAATTCAAAAAATATATTAAAATCCTCAACCATATAAATCAATCAAAACATAGTCAATCGTAGGGTTCGACTTTCCCGGAACTAGAATAAAAGGACTACTCACTCATAGTGTTCGAAGACATAATCATCAAATTACTTACACGAAAAAAATAAAGAAAAAAAAAAGAATAAAATCTTCTCTGTTCCAACACCGTCTGTTGCCTTTTCTCTGTTCCAGTCCCGCAGCCGCAAGAAGGTGTAATCCCCATTCCAAGAAAAAGTCCAAAATATATATCCCCCTTTTCTTATGCCACGTCTCTCTCTCTCTTAAGTATTCCTAGTCAACATGGCAATCAACTCAAGTGGGCCTTTTATTCTACCTCATCTCAGTATCATAATAATAGCTCACTTCCTTCATACACAAAATATATGCGCCCTTTTAATATTAATTCCCCACGTCACCATAACTGAATTGTACTACATGCAGTACGCGACACCCCCGTACTCACTGGAAACTCTTCTTCGACCTTCTTCCGAGCATCCACACCTCATCGTGCAACCTGAAATAGCTCCAAAAATACTGAAAATCACTCAAAAACTCATCAAAGCACAAGTATTGTTCATAATATCAAATAAGTCGAAAGATGCATAAATGCAAGGAATTAAACGTGCACAATTGTAGCATTAGATGATTAAATGCAAGCACTTTTCTCGACTAATCAATTTGTATCAAAGAAAATCCTTGTATAAATATCCATAAAAAGGAATGATGTGTGGAATGATGAGAAATTTAATAATGATGCATTTATCCAATTAGAGCAAGAGTAAATTTCATAAAGATGTAAAAAATAAAATCACTCATTTGCTCAAGAAGATTAAAAACTTTTATGACTACCAGTCGCATTCTCACTATGGGTAGCCATCAATTTGTATTTTTAACTACAAAGGAAAAGAGAAAGGTGCCCTCTTTAGCATCTAGCTCTCGTTCGACATACAAAACGGCTTCGTACAGCTTTTTGATTCCGGTGCCATCATCCGCTGAGATTACTAGCTTGTCCATTGATGATATAATCAAACTTTAGCGACGTATTAGCTTTCTTGTTTTGTTCGCTCACGGCAAAATTTGCTGCCCAAACTAAAAAATCATCTTTATTTGGGCTTTCGATTGGGGTCCATACCCCAATTTCGGCCATGGATTCGAACGAGTTCAAGGCCATGATCGCCAAACTAAAAAGAAGAACAAATTTAGGCGTCATATTATATTGCTCTTGTTTCAAGATTGATTTCGTATGTGGTTTTTGTCTTTTAAAAATGGCGCTTTGTTTGAATTGGCATTATGGTATGTGGGATTTATAGTACATTATGGCTAGGGTGTTTTCATGTGGTGAGTTTTATTAGGATTCACATTTAATTATCGGTTAAACACTTTATGAGCGTACATATGTTCCATTTTCTTTATTAACTCTACTTTATGATGATAACATTTATTTTCCTCCCCTTTAACCAAAAACACAATCCATTTGCTTTGTTATCACTTATTATCAGTCACAAATTAAATAGCCCTGCCAATTTTTTCATTTTTTTTTTTTATGATTGTTATGTAACGCTTGTGACTTCTTTAAATATTTGGTAATTACACTAGTAGTATACTTTATTCTTTGTAAAACGTATGGAGCCTTTAACCATCAAACTTTCATCCAATCGATTAGTAGCCTTGTTGCTGTTAAAATTTGATTCGTCTAAGAGACTAACATCTTCCTCCGTAGCCCATTTTATAATGCTAATCCCCCTTTATTATATATTAATTGAGAACGTGTTGAGCCTATGTGACAGGCTCGCATGCTTCGGGATCCTATGTGGCAAAATTACATGCTTCGTTATTAGACTTGGATAAGTTTGGATTATCTATAAATATAAGAAGAATGGAGTATAAAATGGCGAAATTTAATAATATTGCACTTATCCGTTATGGGTAAGAGTAAATTCCGTACAAAAAATGTAAACTAAAAACCACTTATTTTATTTGATCAACGAAATAAAAATCCATTTATAAGCAATCATTTCCTCACATAAATTCAAAAATAAGAAAGTCTACTTCTTCCAACAAAGAAATCATTTCCTCACATTTAAAATTTTGTAGGATTCCTTCTAAATTTTAAAATGTTAAAAAAGGCTCAAAATTTAAAAAATATGTAAATGTCACTCAAATCTCACCAAATGCAACCTCTTAGAAAATTCTTAGAAACATTCCACATTTCTTCTTCCAAACTATCCCACATTAATTGGAGACACGATTAATAAATCACCAATTTGTTTTAAACTAGCCCTCAATTTATTTCTTTTACTTCTACAAATGAATTGAGATCAAAGCTACCAACATTTAGATCAAAAAATATATCTGCTTCATACTGCTTTCAAATTTTGTTTCTATCAGCTGAGATCACCAATTTTTTGGTGCTATAAGTCCATGGATCCCCTTACCATATAATCTAATTATACTTGTTCGCTCACAACATAATCGAGCTCTTGAGCGACGTTTTTCGCTATCTTGTTGTTTTCAACTGTAAATATTATTATCCAATAGTTAGGTCGGTCGATCTGTCATACTCATTGAACAAAAAATTATATTTATTAAATGATATACTTTCATATATTTGAAAGTATATTATTAATTAAATTATAACTTTTTAATGAAAAAGTATGCATATTTGAAAAAAAGGAAAAACGTATATCCGCATAATGGTTAGACCCCATCCTCATCACTTGAAAATTTATACAATCAAATAGTTACATTTTATTTCAATTTTTTTTTTCTTCCCAAACTAGCCATTAATTAATTTTTCAATTCTTTAAACGAGTCGAGCAGAACGACACTCGCCTCTAACGATTCGGACAGTACTTCTTCGTACTGCTTTCGGATTTTGTTCTCATCGTCAGCCGAGATCACGAGCTTGTATCGAATAATCGGCACGTACTCGGGTCTCCCATCATCGATCTCAACGTATTGTCCTCTGACAATGGAGACGAACTTTAGCGACCTACTGTCTCGTTGGTTTTCCACAGCCAGGCCGTATCTCGCAAGATTCAACACCTCGGGATCACCCGGGTTTATCGGCGTCCATTCGCGGGGTTCGGCAAGGGATTTTAGCGAGCTTAGGGACACAAAAACGACGAATAATATGAATTTTGGCGCCATTAATTGGTTTTTGTTATTTAACTGAATTTTTTTTTTTAAGTGTTTGTGGTGTTTTGAATGTTGGCTGTGATTGATATGTTGTGTGGGTGTTATTTATAGTACATTATGGCTAGGG